TTTAGATTGTACCATAAAACTGGTTTTTACACTTAAAGTATACTATTTGTAATATTTTTTTCTTCTGTATATTATCTATCATATTATGTAGAAATTGTCTGAACCTAAATGCTTAATTATTAACGTTAATGGCTTCTTGGTATCATTTTTTCAGTGCTAAATGTTTATATATTTTTTGTTTATTGGTAGAAATTGTTATTCTTTTTCACTTTCGTTTAATAGCATACAGCATTTAATAGTGTCAGAGCTGAGCGAAATTTAGATGGTTATGGTAAACCGTCGGCTTTTGAATTTTTTTACTGATGCGTAATGCCTAAATGATTGATTAGAAGTAATAGAGCATATAGTCACAAAATATCCAATTTTTAACCAAACTTATCTTCGTATATCTGTTTTCTGTCTGTACTTTTGATATTTAGACTTATTGGATCTTTTGTGAAATTCACGATATATAGGTTTTCTAATTCAAGTACATCTTTCAGATTCCTTTGGCTGACAATGCCTTAAAGTTGCCCAAATGGCCCTTGGATCTATCATCAAATTTTGATTTGCCATATGATACTAAGTTATTTGAGCAGAATGCTCCTGCTTTTCATTTGCCAAACGCTCTTGAGGATTTCTCCAGCCATGATGATTTAAATGATCAACATCCGCATAAAAATCATCAAATACAGAGTAGCAATGCAGATCCTAATTCTTTCATGAGAACATATTCTGAGAATGATATGCATTTGGATGGAAATGTCAACTATGCTTTGTCTCTGAAAAAATCATTACTTGATGGAGAAGAAGGTTTGAAGAAAGTTGACAGTTTTTCATGATGGGTTACTAGAGAACTTGGAGAAGTAGATGATCTGCTGATGCAATCCTCTTCTGGTATTGCCTGGAGTGCTGTTGAGTGTGGAGATGTTTCTGATGATGCCTCTTTGAGCCCCTCTCTCTCTCATGACCAACTCTTCAGCATTGTTGATTTTTCTCCAAAGTGGGCATACATAGACTTAGAAACTGAGGTATTAAAGCTTTTGTTAAATTTGAGAAGTTAAGTTTCTGCAGCAACGAGCATAATGAAGATTTTAGTTAACCACTTGCTTATTCTCTTGGCCTTTTCCTCACCTGCTTTCTTATTTAAAAGTTGATAAATTGTCATGTTTTTATTACTTGTGCATTCTTCAACTTTATTCTTCGTGTTACTTTTGGCTGGTACTTTGAGGCACGCATAACCCTAGCATGCTAACTGCTTAAAGTTTTCAGTGGCTTCATCTGCTAATGTTTTCTCTCTTTGCTTAGATTTAATTGTTAGACAGACACATAAATGTATATATATCACATAAGCCCATTATAGCCCCTGATATGAAGTATTGGTATATGTCATTCAAACACTCCTCCCTTCTTTAAATGTATAATTAGCTTTTGGTTTTCTAGAATTTTGTGACGTCCATTCTTATTTGATAGATGACCAACTTAGTAAAAAAATGGTTTTCCCCCTTATTTTTTGCATCACGAAACAGGTGTTTATTATTGGGACATATTTGAGGAGTCTAGAGGAAATAGCAAAGTATAACTGGTCATGTATGTTTGGGGAAGTGGAGGTTCCAGCTGTGGTTATCGCAGATGGTGTTCTTTCCTGCCATGCTCCTCCTCACAGTGTTGGGCAAGTCCCTTTTTATGTTACATGTTCCAACAGGTTAGCTTGTAGCGAAGTCCGAGAGTTCGACTACCGTGCAGGATTCACTAAAGACATAAATATTTCAGATATCTATGATGTTGCCTCAAGAGAAATGCTGATGCGATTTCAGAGGTTACTTTCTCTACAATCTTTCAGTCCTACTGATCATCACTCTGAAGGTGTTGGGGAGAAGCGAGATTTGATTACTAAAATTATATCAATGAAAGAGGAAGATGAATGCCACCAGATTGTTTCCCTCTGAAAAGGATTTGTCTCAACATGAAGAACAGGAGTGCCTCCTTCAGAAATTGATGAAAGAGAAGTTGTACTCATGGCTTCTTCACAAAATAACGGAACATGGTAAAGGACCAAATGTATTAGATGAGAAGGGTCAAGGTGTACTACACTTGGCTGCTGCACTTGGTTATGATTGGGCAATAAAGCCTACTGTTACTGCTGGAGTTAGTATAAATTTCCGTGATGCAAATGGATGGACTGCGCTTCACTGGGCTGCTTTCTGTGGCAGGCAAGGACCTCTAAACTTGTTTCTGTTATATGCACATAGAGTTTTCAATTTTAATCTGAAAAATTCTCACCAAACTGACAGTAATTTAATTACGTATTGTGTTTATAAAATCATTTGGAAGCATCCTAGGTGTAAATGAATACATTATTTTCTTGTCTTTTTATAAAGTAAATGCTCTATTAGAAGAAAAACTTGTATACTTTTGTTATGCGTCTGAATCTTTGTTTTCAAAATTCAGAGAGCAAACAGTTGCTATTCTAGTGTCCCTGGAAGCTGCACCTGGAGCTCCTACAGACCATACTCCAGAATTTCATTTGGGCAGAACTCCTGCGGACTTGGCTTCTGGCAATGGACACAAAGGAATATCGGGTTTCCTTGCAGAATCTTCTTTGACCGTTTTCCTTTCTTCTCTTACAATGAATGATAAAAAAGAAGCTGAACAAATAGTTTCAGAGCGAGTGGCAACTCCAGTATATGATAGTGATGTACAAGACCTATCGCTGAAATACTCAGTTGCTGCTGTATGCAATGCTACACAAGCTGCCCATCGTATACATCAAATGTTCAGGATGCAATCCTTCCAGCAGAAACAGTTGAGTGAGTTCGGTGATGGCGTGTCAGATGAGTTTGCCATTTCACTTCTAACTGCTAAAGCACGCAGGCCATTGCAAATTGATCGTGTCACCCATGCTGCTGCAACACAAATTCAGAAAAAGTATCGTGGTTGGAAGAAAAGAAGAGAATTTTTATTGATCCGGCAAAGAATTGTCAAAATCCAGGTTCATTGCTGCTTTTGTCTTTGCTGAAGGTTTTGTTTCTTGGTTTATCTTTTCCTTTCTCTTCTCTGAACTTTTTCTTTGGAAAAGGGTTATTTCATTATCTAATTGCATGTCTTTGTTTTATGGTGAATCATGTGCTATTCTGTGTTTGGAAATCTTAAGTGACAATATTTTGATATATGATGTGCTACATAGGCAGTTTTTTTATGATTATGATTTTACACTTCTTTTAGAGATAATAACATAAAAGGGATTTGAATATCTCATATTTAGGGGTTTGACCATTTCATTTTTTATGACTGCTACTGTCGCGACTTTTACCATCTTTTAATTGTATGGATGTTTACTATATGTTGTGTACTTTTTTTGGGTGATTTATATGTTGTGTATTTATGAAAAAAATGGAAAAGTGAATTCATCATCTTATGAAGAAGTGTAAAATTGTTAGTTTAAGGATTTGTTGATATATTATTTACCTCTTAAGCTTTAAAATCTTGAATTTGAATAATGATTTGAAATTTTATGGTGCGAAGGCCCATGTTAGAGGACACCAGGTGAGGAAACAGTATAGACCAATCATATGGTCCGTGGGAATTCTGGAGAAAGTTATTTTACGATGGAGACGTAAAGGGAGTGGCTTGCGAGGATTTCGACGGGGTGCAATTACTAAGGAACCTGACCCACAGTGCACGCCCTCGAAAGAGGATGATTATGATTTTCTCAAGGAGGGAAGAAAACAAACCGAGGAAAGGCTGCAGAAGGCACTTACTAGGGTAAAGTCCATGGCTCAGAATCCTGAAGGACGAGGCCAATATCGAAGGTTGCTGACATTGGTTCAAGGGATTCGTGAAAACAATGTTGTTTTCTTTTACATAGATTTCTACTTTAGTAAAGTTTACAATTCAGCAGGCTTCAATGATGATAGTTAGTTACCTTTGACGAGTCGATCTGTCTGAGATTTTGTCTTTGCACCTTGAACTTGATCTATTTCTGTCATTCGCTGTTGCTTCATCTGGATGTTAACTAGCAAGGCCAACTATAATCTGGCTATGGTCATCTTTGGTTATTGCGAGACATTTCTATTACTTAAGGCCAATCATTAGCTTGGTTTGAGCTATTTTTCCTTTGATTATTAAGATCATTGTAAGTCTCATAAGACCTATTTTAAATTCTTGAGATGGTATACCGTAGTTTTAATTTTGAAAATGTGTTTATTATTCAACAAACTCGCATTCAACATTCTTTTTACCTCAATATTTTATCAAAACACTGACCATTTCGATATTTATTTCTACAGACTTGCAATATGGTACTGAGCAGTACAGAAGTGGGTGATGGTGAAAGAGACAGTGATGAAGACCTCATTGATATCGATTCTCTTTTGGATGATGAAACTTTCATGTCTATTGCATTTGATTAAGCTCCTTCAAAACTTGCCCCGACATATCCAGCCTGTACATAAACTGGTACAGCAGCTTCGTAGCCAGCAGTATGAAGTGTTTTAACTTGGGTTGTCTGTGAATATAGCATCTAACGTACATTACTTGGTTTGTTTGTAGGTAACATGGAAATTCTGTTTTACTTTTTCAGGTTAAAATAGTGTTTTTAATCCCATAAATTTGTTAACTCAAGGGTTAGTGTGTATTATTTATTGATTCCTGGGAAGATTTAGTTGTAAAATCTGTTGAGAGGAAGGGATTACGAGTGATATTTTAGAGTGTAATTATGAACATAGTGATTCCCTTTGTATGCTTATTTTCTGTTTAAATCTCTCTTTTAATGCTAATGAAACCAATGGAGCTGCATTTTTATCACATGAGAAAACAAAATGCATGCTAATTCTCTATGCCACTTCTGAGTTTACAGTAACAAAACGTTGTGCTCATTAATGAAGTGGATTCCCGCTTAAGAACAAAACAAGTCTTGAGAGTGAATGTACATAGAGTCCTTTGGCATTGAGGAAATTAGAGCATGGCTCAAGTCCTCCCATGCACCTCACCATTTTAATCTTTCCTGTTTCTGGGTAAAGAATGCATTCAACTCTTCATTTGATGGGACGGTGCTTATCGGAAACTCGCTTAGGAGGCAATTTCCGAAGTATAAACAAAACCAAAGCTGACGGAAGAATCTCCACCAACTGTAGAAAAAGAAGAAGCAACACAACAGCTGTTGAAAAATGACACATTACAGCATCAATATCTATTAACCTAAAGTGTGTGTCAAAGAACATCAGCTTTAGATATCATCACACAAAAACCTCTAGGAAGCAATCATGTCCGGGCGATATTCATGATGCATTGAACTATATTACGTCTTAAACAAACCGGTGGAACATGACCAGCCAAAGTTCGATCTAATTGTATAGCGTGAATGAATGAGTAGCACACTCCGGAAATCAAATGTACCATGTAGTAGATAAGGTTTAGGAGGGGATGGTATAGAACATCGACATCGGCATCCTCGTCAAAGGCTGAGACTAAGACCTGTGAAGCGAAACCGATAGAAACGATTTCTTGTTATGTACAAGGAAGTTTATGTAGTATTTACAATGTTATTTTCGATCCAACATGATTCACCATGAGGCATCTTAGCACGAAACAAGCACAACATATCCCTGTTACGAAGCCAACCTGCATGGAAATAAGGTCGAAAACAACGTTGAATGACTGATAAACAGTTGAAAGGGTATCGGAAGTCTTTACAATTATAAGTTAATAAACCTCAAACAGCTTTTTCTGGCTACCTCTGGATTCGATGGGGAAGCGTCTCAACATGTAGAACAATCTAAGAATGTAAAGTACTGAAAAGTGAATAGAGAAGGAAGAGCAACTGAATTCTGTCCGAGGTTTAATATCGACTCTTACCTCCCACCATATAGAATGAACCCGGATGCAGCACAAAGCGAAACAACTGCAAAATGCAAAGAAATACACCTATGCATCAGCTTTTCAAATCGCCCAAAATAAGTCTTTCTACTTTTAGAATCTATTCAATCGTTAACTCTGTACAAAAGGTTAAACTATGTCATGGCATTGAAAATGTGAATTCAAAGCAGATTCAAAGAAGAAAAGCTTACTTGAAATGAAGACTAGCTAATTCGATTGCAATCGGGCTTTTACTTAACCGTATGGAAATCCATATGCATTCCTTTAGCTCAAGAAACAGATAGGCTCCTATAGATGCATTGTGAAATCTGAAAAACCATCCGTCTAGATGATGTGCAATTACATTATTACTTTTACCTGAGCTAAGTATATAAATCCGTTGATGCTATAGTATGCAGGCCTAAGTTTATTAATTGGAAGACTTCTTGCCTAAGAAACAAAAACAGAGAACAATCCATGAGAATCGATTCCGCATAGTATTATGCTAAATGTCGACGTAGCGAAGGATAGTTGTCTACCTGGTAATATATCTCTGCCCAGAAAAGAACAAGCAGAATATATGTTGAAAAAAATAGAAGATTAGGCAGATCCAAAAGCACCATTTCGAGTGCCTGTATATGGATTGATGTTATAATTAAAGCAGTGAAGCTGAACTAGGATTATATCGATAATACAAAAACTATTGCCAGGGATAATCAAATTCTCTACTCATTTCCGAAAACCGAAAACAAAGAAGACTTAGACATTATATGGAAGCCATTGTCATGAAACTCTAAAGATCATATGACGCTGCTATCAGATGCTCATTCACTACAAGTAACAATTAAAATCCAGAGCGTCGACTGTGACTCTAAACAACAACACATACCTTGGATTTAACGAGAAACACGGTCTTGTAGAAACAGAAAAGAGCAGTCCTCACTGTTAGAATGCCATACAATAATTTTGTTAGCCAAGTTATAGAACAGCTAGTTGAAGAACTATGGAAGATGTAATGCACAACTCTTACATCCATTCACAACAAAGTTCATCAAGAGGAAAGCCTTTTGTGTCGTCCACCCGTACTCCGGCACTCGCAGTTGAATACGGCATAATTTTACCTAAAAATCGAATCATTAATGCCATAAGAAAGCATAATCTTGCATCTTATGCTTCATGATTTTGGACAATATCAGATAGAAGCACAAGTAGCTGGGAGCAGTGTTGGGATTTACATGAATTTTAACAGTATATTGTCGAATACATTGTGAATACATACAATACATAGACATATCAAAATTCATACCCAGAAATCATTAACGTATTGAAATTTATATAAATTCATAACACAAAAGATTATGGCTTTACCAAAAAAAAAATCACATGCATGCATAATAAGGTATTCATATTTTCACATTAAAATCCCATTGAAAGACATGAAAAATGCATCAAATTACCAGCGCAACAAATGAAATAAGAGCATAAAAAGAAGATAATAAATAGAAAATGAATCCCTGCCATTCCTCGGATTCATCAATCTCATCCCACCAACCAAGCATTCCCACGACATCTCTCAACAACGATGCTTTCTCTGTTAGAACAAAACCCTTTACTCTCACCATCTGAAGGAACTTCCCCAACTGTGAAAAAACAATGGGAAAAACCAAATAAAATTAAAAAAAACAGAAAAATAGATATTAGAGAAAACAGCCATTGATAAGCGGGAAGGAGGAGGAGGGGGTGGAGGGAGGGAGGGGATACTGGATACGTGGAGAGAAGAGAAGGAAGACACGTAGGTAGAAGTATGCCACTTGTGGAGAGAGCATAACGGTCGAAACATATACAGTTAGTGCCATATTCGTGGATTCCGCTAACGGACAGTAAGGGTTGTTAATTGTCACCCTATGCAGTTCGTGCCATTTTTGGTTTAATTATTGGTTACAGTTAACAACATCGTCGCTAGAAAAATTATTGAAATAAGGATTATTAATTGTCACCCTATATTTCAAGTGTGCTAATCTCGTAAGGGTACGAGTGCGATATGTGAAACTCGTATTTGACACAAAGCTTTCTGAGTTAACATTTGAGTGTACATCCGAGTCGTGGATGAATCGATTTGTACTTTCCATTGAGCGCCATCAGGTAAGGATTATGCACGACTGTCCATCAAATGGGGACCATTGAGCTTAGGATGATATTGGAAGGACTAAAATTTTAATCTTTCCATCTAGAAAAATCAAACCTAATTCCCATTGAATGTGTTGTTTTGTAGGTGCGGGTTATGGGGGGCAAAAGGTAAAGAGTGACCTGATTTACCCCATTTCCTCATCTTTCTTTCTTCATTTTGATCATCTAGATTATCATTTTGGGATGAAGATCGTAAGATTTGTAATCTCCATCTCCAAACCTTTAAGAAAAGCTCAACATTTTCTATGGAAGATGGTGTGAAACAAGCTTAGAGTTTTGTGAGGATTTAGGCGGGATTCTTCTAAGCTTTACCCATCTCATCTATAAGGTTCTAAAGTTGTGTTATTACTTCTCTTAAAATTGTATTTCATTTTCATGGTTATTGATTGGTGAAAGAGGAATGAGAACCTTCTAGTGCAAGAGGAAAAGAAAAGGTTGGAGAAAGCTAATCAAGGAAGTTTTTGGTTGCTAAGCTTAAGGTAGTACATTCTGAACTGCCAAGTGCTTGTTTTGTTTCATAAATTTAATCCTATGCGTATTGATACAATACATGTTGAGAGAAAATCCTCTTCCCTCTCTCTTGGTATCGGTTTTAACTTCTCCTCCGGGTCTAATCATGGTCACTCCTCCCCATATCTTGGCCAAGGTCATCTCAGATCTAGTTCCTCCCCTGAAAAATAAAAACTCAGCGTATCAAAGTCTTACAACAACTATCTCATCAGGTAAACCCATAGACCAAAACAAAGGCCATCAACAAGAAATATATAAATTTCATACCATATCTCATACCATATCAAGACTCCTATCTCCCAAAACCACTTCGGCTATCAGGTTTGGTACTCGAAGCAAAGTAACTATATTTTTCTCCCGTTTAATGCTAGTGTTATTTTCTTTTGGCAGGATAGCACCTCATGGTTCTCTGTAGGAATATGGGTAAAGAGTGGTAGAGGAATGCACAGACACCAAACTCGAGATAAAAGATATCGGAGATGGTTAGCTCGGGTTGTCCTGAGAATATGTGCAGTTCCCCTTTGGGTTATGAAACTGTGGACGATTCGAGGTGTTTGGACAAGGAAGAAAAGTGATCAACTGGTAAAACAAAACCTGGACTACACTGTTTGGGTACTACAACAGGACAATGATTTGTTGTTTCTCATCAAGAACCTCTCTTTTTGGTTCCTTTAGAAAGATGCAAAGATACGAGGGAGAATAGTGAACTCAAGTACCGGTTGGCAACCATCACACTTGTCGATGTTGAATGTAGACACCAATGCCTATGGAACAATAGAAGTATGTCTCCCATGCAGAAATCATATCAGTCTTTTTTGTACGTACAAAGATTCTAAGGGATTTATCATGGGTGAAAGAAGGTTGTCCACAAAAAGAATAAGGATGGTAAAAAAGTTGTTTTAAGGTTATTAGGGGAAGAAAGTCAACCTCGGACAGTGCAACCAATTGGATGTCCAGGTTTACGCTGCTTACACAACTTCAACAGAAAGAATGAGTTTTTCCAACAGATAATAACCAAATAGTGGTATGTTAACCACGAGGTAAAGGATTCTAACTGCGTAGATGCACACAGATCTGATGAAGAATGAAATTCCCATCCACAAAGGTTCAAATTCTGGAATTGGATTTTTGCATCCTACGGATACATCAGCTCATGGAAAAGGACTAGTCACATTTCTCTCTCTCTCTACCTTGACATTAACATTAACACTCTGCCACACAGATCCTCACAACTCGGTTCCATATCCCCTCTATCTATTCAACATCTCCAATATTCGAACATGGCTGATAAAGTTCTCCACCTTACGGATACTCTTAAGCTCACTGAAGCTGAGACAACAATTGTGCATCCACTCCTATCGGAAGACGCCCCATCAATTGAGGAACACAGTAAGTGACTGGTCTCGAAGCTCATCATATGAAAGTGTTCCAGTCAGTTTGGGGAACTGGGTAACTCATGGAAGCTGCTTGTAAGAAGAAACATTTTTTCTTCTTCAAGCTCCCCTCCACGGAGGATAAACACACGGTCTTACGCCAAACACCTTGAGCTTTGACGTTGATCTCTTGGCTCTTAAAGAATTTGATCACTGATCACTAAGTCCAGACAACTTGATTTCTCTCTTCTAAGCATCTCGTTAAGGGTGTACAACGTTCCTTGATTTGGATGACTTGAGATATAGGAAAACAAATAGGCAACACCATGGGAAGAGCTCTTGTTGTGGACCTTAGAGAGGGAGAAGGCAGCTTGGGAGAATATCTACGCATTCGAGTGGAAATCAACTGGAGCCTCCCCTTGCGTCATTGTGTCATAGTGGAGATCAAACTGGATGGACAACCACAGAACTACCCTATTAAATACGAAATGACCCCATGTTTCTTTTATGAACGTGGAGTGATCGGAAATAGCATACACACTTGCCCGTCCAAGGCCTTGGACTCGAGGGAACAAACCCAATATGGTGACTGGCTAAAGTTTTCCCAATAAAGACGAGTCAAACACCTAGTGAAAGGGAAGAAATATAGGATTTTCTTTATAGACAAAGCAACTAGAAAGAGCACCTCTGAGGCTCTGACAGCAGCAACACGTCTGGGTTGTTGATCAGTGAAGACACCATCTGTAAAAACACTACCCCAACAGGTCCCACAATACCACCTTGACAACCAAAAAGAAATTTGCTCTAAAATCAAAGAGGGAGCAGAATCTTGCAAAGCCCTCGTCCCTTTACTGAAAGCTAGCACTTTTGAAGGCTTACAGAATGCCACACCACAATAGGTGGACAAGACTGACAACCAGGATCAAGGGACAGCTATCTCGGATGCAACCTCGAAGAGTAGTGGAACAACCAGACAAGTGAAACGATGCATCCAACAGAAACGTAGTGCCAAAGGTTTTTCTGAGATACCACATAACCTAACCCCAAGTAAATGTCGTACAGAACCCCCCCAGAGGAAGACGAATTGGCCAGAGAGGTGAGAGGCACAAATATCTCATCTTATTCAACGGTGGAGGCTGCGGAGCAGCCCTGTTGAGAACCATGATCATCCTCAGCTAGAATTTTCGTGGGCTTTGGAACCCGAAGATAATTCGAGAATTGCGAATACTCGTCTCCTCAAAAGCGCTCCAACAGATTATTCACAAGATAAAATTCGCCAAAAAAATCTTGAGAAAAAGTCTCTAGGGTTTAATAAAATATTATCAAATCAAACAATGCCAAAATCAGTCCACAAGCCGGACTGTTATAGCAAAAAATCGTCTTTATTCGAATTTTGCCAAAAATAGCAAAATCCCGAAAATCACTCTAAATTGAAATTCGAAATAAGATAAACAATCTCCAAAAAATCCGGCCTAAATCGGATTTAAATTGACTTCCTAATTGACAATCGAATATTACCATAAATAGTAACAAATATCTAATTCTTGTGATTCGGAGGGGAAAACGACAGAATTTGAGGTTGAAAGAAAGGCCATATGGAGCATAGCTCAATGTGGAGAGCTTGCGCGTCGAAAAGAGCTTTTCGAATTGGGGTCTTATGCGCGATTCTGACACCTGTAGCCAAAGTTATGGCCAAAAGGCTGAAACATACTCAAAACGACCCCAATGAGGAACATGTCACAATCAATTCCCGCCTTTGCGCCGATCTGCCAATTCATGGTATCTCAGCGCCATCAAGGTGCAATCTGACAGCTCAGCATCATCTGTCTCGGATCCCCCTGCATCAGTCACCCCGGGTTGGAAAAAACTCGTCCTCGAGTTCAGAGTAGTGTCATCAGAATCCACAAAACAATGACTCAGGTGCTTCACATTAAAGACATCAGAAGTCTTCAAGTGGCTGGGAAGGCGCAACCTGTAAGCGTTATCATTGATCTTCTGATCCTTA